TATATTTATTATTATATTTTTTAATAAAAAAAGGGATTGGGGTCTGGAGAGATGGCTCAGCGGTTAAGAGCACAACTTGCTCTTGCAGAGGTTGTGGGTTCAAATCCCAGCACATACATAGCAGCTAACAACCATTCATAACTCCATTTCCAGGGCATCTGAAGACTTCTTCTGACCTCCTTGGGCATCGCACAACATGGGTGCACTTACATACATGCAGGTAATACACTCATATACATAAAAGAAAAATAATAAACTTTTTTTTTTTTAAAAAAAGGGACTAAGCACTTATGTAGTGTTTCATACATGGCTTAACTCCTGCACTTAATAGCCACACCAGCCACAACTCCAGGGTAGGAAAGGAGAAGGGGACTGGGCCGTTGGTCATTTAATTAAAACAAAAAGCCAAACTGAGGTTAAGCACCAGGCGGGGAAAAATGACACCAGTCCTTCTATTCAGTCCCAGTGGGAAGTCAGGCTGCTGCCACTCCTCAGCTACAGGAGTAAGCCCTGTCTTCTAGGAAACCTAACTCAGGAACCCAGTGCCCACTTCGGTTACTTGAATGAGAGGATTCCTTTGAGCAAGAAGAAAAGTAGCACTATTAAAAATTAATGCTAAATTAAAATTTTAAATGTTCTATTTCCCAGCAGTTAATTATTTAAGTCCACTGACAATTCCAACATGTCAGTGACCCTTGACTGAGAAGTCAGTCAGTCAACAGCCTAAAAAGGCAAGCAGTAGGGAGAGGGGAAGGAGGATGAGGCGGAGATTGGCTTCTGAGAGGAACCTGCCTCTTAAGTTAGCTTAGTCATCAAAACCTACAAACCCCCAAACTAAGCAGCTGAGGGCAGCCCACACGTACGTGCACAAAATCTCAACTGAGAACTGTCAACTGCTCAAGTTAGCCACGATCACCATGACAGGATTCTATAAGAGGGAAAGGAGCCAGGAAGGAGCTCCTCAAAGGCCTTCATTCTGATTTGTTGTGGACCAGACTGTCCTCGATCTCACAAAGATCGGCCTGCCTCTGCCTCCCAAGATTGAAGGTGGGTGCCACCATGCCCAGCAAAGGCCTTCATTCTGAACAGGGCACTCAACCACCCTGTGACCTAAGCATGCCCAGATTCACTATATAAGACAAAAGCTTCCAAAAAGTCATAACCAAAAGTCGTAACCAAAGCATTCATGTCTCCAGGTTATTAATGGCTTTTGAGACTCAAGCCTTCAAGTTTAGGTCTGCTTCTTTTTGTGAACTTCATGTGTCTTTGTGGTTTACTTTTTGGGCATGAAAAGCTGGTTCATCTAAGCTTCCATTTCTCTCTTTTGATCTTATATTGGAGTGGCCAGATTGCTTTTGTCTTCAGGAGTTCCCACAGAGGCCCAAGTCAGATAAGGATCAGATGCTCCCAGGCTTTCTCCTAAGATCTGGATCCCTCCAGGAAAGATTTTGGCCTCAGGAATTTGGGTGTTGGGCTGGCCTAGGAGCCAGGCCCAGGAAAGATGCTGGTCTAGGGCAGCTAGTGGCCAGGCCACCCAGAGATGCAAAGGGAGATGTGGGCGGGAAGCTGCCCCAAGGGCTCCTGGGGACTGCACTGAGGAGCTGGGTTGATCTGGATGCAAAGGACCAGGAAAAGGAAAGGTCAGCCCCGGTGTCCAGGAAAGAGGCTGGCAGGTTGTGCAGGCCCAAGGAAGCAGAGGGAGGTGAGGGCGGGACCAGGCCCAGAGTGCTCCTGGGGACCCGAGAAGGAACTGAGTTGGTCTGGATGCAAAGGATCAGGAAACAGTGGTGGTTCCCCAGGTGTCTGGGGCACCAAGACAATGGGACAGGACCCAAACTAGGAGGAGCGACTGGCGGGGGAGATGGGAGGGTGAATGAGGCTGGGGGAGTCAAGGCGTGGAGGGTGCGATGGACTTACCCCAGAAAGAGAGGCCCCCGGGTCCGAGAGAGGCCTGCGGGTCCTGCAGGCCCAGGGAAGCAGAGGGCAAATTTCATGCCTTTACTCACAAGTGCATTAACGGTATCCAAAGGTTAGCAAGAGGAAGAATTAAAATTCTATGAATTAGAACACCAAGATGGCTCAGCAGGCAAAGGCACTTGCCACTAAGCCAGATGACCTGAACTCAATCCCTGGAACCCACATGGTAGGAGAAAACCAACTCTTACAAGTGGTGCACACACACACACACACACACACACACACACACAAATAATAAATAAATAAAGTTTTTTAAATTCTATGAATCTCCAAGTGGCCTGAGAGAAGATGTGGAACGCATGTCATTCATGAAGCTATCGCATGGCTGATGGTGAGCCCACAAAGAGCTGATGGCAGCGTGAACCAGGGCTATAGAGTGGAAGTATGTGGAAAGGATTTAGGATCAAGAACTGACAGAACAATTAGACTGTTGGTGGACAAAGGAAAACGTCTCCCAGGCTCTGCCTCAAGGTGTTTACTGAGATGGGTGGGGTGGCATTGAGAAATCCATGTGGGGCATGTGAGGCATGCAGAGATGCCAGGTGGGCAGGATGATACAAGTCAGGGCTCAGAGGAAATATGTAGGCTACAGACACAACTGAGAATCACCCTCTCATCCATGTTATCTAATGCCACGGGAATGGGTGGGAGCATCCTGGAAGTCATAAAGAAGAAAGAGGAAGAAGCCACACGTAATGCTCAGAAACTCCTGTCTGGTGGCCAAGAAAAGGGAGATGCTCCAACTGAGACTCAGAAAGGAGAGAGGAGGAAACAGGATGGGAAAGTGAAGAGATCGTGTTGTGGAAATACATGCATACTGTACTCTGCTGGGTCCAAAGCAGTTGACCGGAAAGGGTACATGGATGTAACGTACAATCTATTTATTTCTCATTCATTCATTTACGCAAGAAATATTTTGGTGTGTTCAGGAGGCTTTAAAATATGATGCTGGGGGACTGGAGAGATGGCTCAGTGGTTAAGAGCACTGACTGCTCTTGCAGAGGACTGGGTTTGATTCCCAACACCCACATGGCGGCAGGGGAATCCGAAGCCCTCTTCTGACCTCCGCAGCATTGTATGACACGGGTGCACTCACATACATGCAGGCAATATACTCATACACATAAAATAAAAATAATAAATAAAATATTTTTTAAAAATATGATGCGTGTTCAAACCAATATTCTCTGTGTGTGTGTGTGTGTGTGTGTGTGTGTGCGTGCGTGCGTGTGTGTGTGTGTGTGTGTGTGTGTGTGTGTGTAGGTGCACATGTCTGCATATGGACAAGGAGGCCAGATGACAACTCCAATGTTATTTCTCAGGTCCTCTCACCCTTATTTTGGTACAGGGTCTCTCACTGGCATAGAATTCACAGCTAGGCTGGATTAGTTGGCCAGCAAGTCACAGGGATCTGCCCACCTCCACCTTCCCAGTGCTGGGATTACAAGTGAATGGCACTACACCCAGCTTATTTTTTACATGGGTTCTGGGGAACGAACTCTAGTTCTCACAATTGTGAGGCAAGGACTTCACTGACTGAGCTCTCTCCATAGTCCTCAAAGCAATATTCTTTAAATGTCTGCTTTGCCATTGGAGGAGAGGCCAGGCCACGCATGGGGAACTGTAGAGACAGTGACAGCTGGTGGCCATGGTTAATCCCTCTTCACAAGGGCATAGAACCACAGTAAAACTGACACACCCTCCTCAGGTGAGCACTCAGTGACCTTCTCTGGCTATCTGGCCTGCTGCCCCTTGGGGGCCTCATCCCCTCAGTCCAAGAGGAAGCCACAATCTAAGAAGAGGAAGACACAATGTTTCCATCTTCCCTCACTCTTAGCAGCATTCCATAGACGGCTACCCCGGCCCAGCCCACTGAAGGACACAGGGAGGCCCAAATTCCCATTCTTGTATACCGGTGTGAGTCTCCTACCCCAAGAATGAGTGAACTTGCCATAACAGATCCAGTGTCTCCAGAGCCCAAGATCCCTCACAAAGGACAAGACAGTGTCCTCTCCTCCGACCTCTACAGCTCTTCCTGCTGCTTTGGAGCTTTCTCTTCCCCCATCAGCTCCTTGAATGCTGCAGGACAGATTTGGTCCTGTTCCTCTCACTGGGTGGCCTCATCCAGGATGTAGATCTGCCCCACACACCTGTATTCTGATGACAGTCATCCCACAGCTCCAGTTTACACCCTCTGCCAAGTTGACAAGTACCTGAGTCTGTCCATCCAGTGCTCCATAAAGCACCAAACCACACACATCACCTCCCACATCCTAGGCCTGCAATTCCTCCTTTTCCTGGTGAAGGGCAACACCCACGACATACCACACAGCTCGACTGTTCTTAGTCCCCTAACGACTTCTTTCCAGTCAGTTGATCACATCTCCTTACCAGTCATGACAAATACTAGTTTCACATCTACTGCTGTAAGACTATGAACAACTCCTCCTGCTCCTCACTCCCTCCCTTCCTTCTTCCTTTTCTTTTGGCGTTTGGGATTGAATCCAGGGCCTCACGCGTGCCAAGCATACACTCTGTTACTGAGCTACCAAGATCAAGAACTTCTTGACTATATCATATTATCCCCAGCGTAATGCTTACCACAGTAATTCTTTAACCATAAATCATAATGGGAAATACAGTTTTATCACTTTTTGGACTTTTGGCTACCATTAAGGGAAGAAACATAATTTAGATTATAACCAAATACATATATAAAAAAACAAAATTCTACTTATCAATACCTATCCTTATTTTGTGTGAGCATTTTGATAGTGGATTACATTCAATTGTGCATATGTGTGTGTGTACGGTATGTGTGTGTGTATGCACGCACACATTCATGTGCGTGGGTAGGTGCATGTATGTGAGTGTGTGAGTGTACATACCGCACATACATGTGAACATCCAAGGATACCCTCAGTGTCAGTACTCATCTTCCACCTTGTGTGAGGCAGGTCTCTTGGTTCACTGCTTCATATACTCATCTAGCTGACCCACGACCTTCCTTGAATTCTCCTGTCTCCACCTCCCACCCCACTATAGATACATTGGGATTACAGGTGTATGCCACCGCATCTGGTTTAATGTCGATTCTGGGGATCTGAACTCCAGCCCTCACACTTGCGTGACCAGCACTTTATTCACTAAACTCTCTTCCTAGCCCTAGGTTTGTTTTAAAAGCCAGCTTGGACCCATTAAACTATTTTCTGAATACATGAATAGGTACTGACCAGCAGTGTGGAAAATACCAGCTAGCATATCCTAAATTCTGAAAAACACTTGTTGACTTGCATAATTCACAGTCCTGGGAATTTCTTTGATCATGATTCCCATTTCATTGACTGAACCTAAGAGAGAATTTTCTTGCCCCAACTCCAGACCCTGCAGCTTTCCATAGCACTTTAGCCATAAGGCCCCTTCCTGCCTCAGTCACATGCACCATTGACCACTTCCTGTTGAATTTATCATGTGGCTCAGTCTATGTGGTTCACAGTACCCAGATGTCATTTTCTTAGTCAAAGTCCATTGATGAAGGTCTAATATATGCTAAGATGCCCCCTTACCAGTCAGCAACATGTTCAGTGGCCTCCAGGGTATCTGCCCCCGCCCCAGCTATGAAGTTATAATGTTTGGCCTTTTTCCTTACTTTGGATTAAACCACTCCCACAGTGGAAGGTCCTCGATTCTGTCTTCCTTTCCTCTTGTTGTTTCTATGCGCTCTTCCTCTTCTTGATAACTGTGGACTCTGCATACGAGAAAGCAAGTTGGGTAAAGACAGGGAAGTGGGGGACTCTCTCATGACATGTGTCTCAAGGTAGAGAATACATCACCCATGGCACTAGCTAGAGGATGCAAGGCTCTAAACATTTATTCTTAAGGACATACTTAAATATACTTTGTGTGAAAAAGGTACAACATTCATCCCTCTAGTCACCATCCAGGTCAGCAGTTAGGATTTCATAGCCCAGTAACCTCAGTTATTTCAGGGGTGGGGAAAGCTTGTTCGAGCAGCCCTCCTCAGAACATTTCTGTCTGTGACTGTCTTTCCTGAAATTTAAACCAGCTGAATTCTTACCTTTAACTGGAGAAAGAAAGGACACAGAAGGGAGAGGGAGGGAGGGAGAGGGAAGGAGGTAGGGGGAGCCAGAAGGAGGGAGGGAGACAAAGGAGGGCAAGGAGGGAGAGATTGGGCCACTTCCACATGTAAGATGGATTCCTCAGAACTGATGAGATGACCCAACCAATAAAGGGGCTTGCCGTGCAAGCCTGACAACCCAAGCTCAGTTCCTGGAACCCGTGGTGAAAATAGAGAATTGGCTCCCAAAAGTTGTTCTCTGACCTCCACATGTACATTATATCATGCATAGACACACACATACACACACACACACACACGCATGCACGCAAGCACATATACCATCATTACCATCACCATCACCACCACCACCACCATCACCACCATCATCACCATCACCATCACCACCACCACCACCATCACCACCATCATCACCATCACCATCACCATCACCACCACCACCACCCATCACCATCATCACCATTATCACCTTCACCACCATCATCACCATTATCACCTTCACCACCATCATCACCATTATCACCTTCACCACCATCATCACCATTATCACCTTCACCACCATCATCACCATTATCACCTTCACCACCATCATCACCATTATCACCTTCACCACCATCATCACCATTATCACCTTCACCACCATCATCACCATTATCACCTTCACCACCATCATCACCATTATCACCTTCACCACCATCATCACCATTATCACCTTCACCACCATCATCACCATTATCACCTTCACCACCATCATCACCATTATCACCTTCACCACCATCATCACCATTATCACCTTCACCACCATCATCACCATTATCACCTTCACCACCATCATCACCATTATCACCTTCACCACCATCATCACCATTATCACCTTCACCACCATTATCATCATCATCACCATCATCATCACCATCACCACATCATTTTCATCATCATCACCATCATCATAATTACCATCATCATTCTCATCACCATCACCATCACCATCATCACCATTATCACCTTCACCACCATCATCACCATTATCACCTTCACCACCATCATCACCATTATCACCTTCACCACCATCATCACCATTATCACCTTCACCACCATCATCACCATTATCACCTTCACCACCATCATCACCATTATCACCTTCACCACCATCATCACCATTATCACCTTCACCACCATCATCACCATTATCACCTTCACCACCATCATCACCATTATCACCTTCACCACCATCATCACCATTATCACCTTCACCACCATCATCACCATTATCACCTTCACCACCATCATCACCATTATCACCTTCACCACCATCATCACCATTATCACCTTCACCACCATCATCACCATTATCACCTTCACCACCATCATCACCATTATCACCTTCACCACCATCATCACCATTATCACCTTCACCACCATTATCATCATCATCACCATCATCATCACCATCACCACATCATTTTCATCATCATCACCATCATCATAATTACCATCATCATTCTCATCACCATCACCATCACCATCATCACCATCACCATCACCATCACCATCATCATCATTGTTGTCAACACAAAGAGAAAAAGAAAAAAAGATTCCTGGTAGGAGTTTAGTAAGCCAGGAGGAGGGGCAACTGAGGTCACGAAGGTGGAAGCGTTCTAAGCGAATCCTCTACAGGCGTGGGCATGTACAAACCGATCTCTATCCCTTACCCATTATTAAACCAGCTTGGAAACCACCATTGCTGCCTGTTGCTCTCACCAACTTCTGGATTTCTAGGAAATGAAAAAGAATATAAACACTTTCAGAAAGTAAGGCAGCCCCCAAACTGGTGGGAGGAGGGAGGGGGATTTGCAAACTTTTTTGTGTGTGTCAGAGATCACTACTAAAAAGTGAGCTTTAAGTGAATTTCATAAAACAGGCAGAAGTGAAACCCTGAGCTGAACTGAAGAAGATGAACCCGAGGCACTGTGGCCTCCCCTCCCCTCCCCCAGCAGCCCCCACCACTCTGCTCATTCTGGGAACCCCAAAAGGATGAGGAGGAAAAGAGGGAATGTGGGAGCAGCACCACACAGAAACCAGAGCCCTGCATCTGCTACTTGCTGGTGGAGTGACTGGCAGACATTGTCGCTGTCTGAATTTCAACTTTCTCCTCTAAAAGGAAGAGTCAACCAAGACGGACGCCAAGAAGGGACTTGTGAAGACAGAGTGAGAAAGACTCTAAGATCTTGGTAAACTAAGCCGGGCATAGTGGTGCATGCCTTTAACCCAAGCACCGCAGCTCTTGGGAGGCAGAGGCAGGTGAATCCCTATGAATTTGAGAGGCCAGCCAGGTCTACACAATGAATTGAGAAACCATGAACCTCTCTGATAACGATTTTATTTTATTTATTTATTTATTTATTTAATTTAATTTTACTTATTTGGTGCAACGAGGAGAATTCAGGTGGCTGCAAAGGCCAGTCTGAGAACCCTTCCATTTGCACAAAGGTCAGCAGTGACAGCCTTGGAAGTCTGAGGATCTCTGACAATAAGTTAGGAAACTAGTTAGAAGCCACTTAAGCCCCCATTGGAGACAGTTTCCACGTTCTTTCACTCTGAAAGTCTCTTTACTTTAGGGTCTCTGGGAGGGAAAAAAGGAGGGACAGTGGGTCAGGTGGCATGGTAATTCTGAACAGCCAAAATATTAGGAAATGTTTCTGTTTTGTTTTGTTTTGTTTTGTTTTGTTTTGTTTTGTTTTGCGACAGGGTCTCATATGTAGTCTTGGCTGGCCTGGAACTCACTATGTACACCAGGCTGGCCTCAAACAGAGATCTGACTGCCTCTGCTGGGATTAAAGCCATAGGCCACCTCACCCGGACCTCCTGCAGGGTGAAGAGAGGGGACAGGGCCCTGTTATGTTTCTCAGACTAATCTCAAGCTCATAAGACTCAGCAACCTTCCCACTTTTGTCTCTAGCTAAGATGACAGGCATGCTCCACCATGCCTGGATAAGAAATATGTTTTAAATCTTTGAAGGGGGTGGGGGTGCTGGAGAGATGGCTCAGTGGTTAAGAGCACTGACTGCTCTTGCAGAGGACCAGGATTCGATTCCCAGCACCCACATGGTGGCCACGAACCATCCTTAACTCCAGTTCCAGGAAAATCCAAATCCCCCTTCTGACTTCTATGGCATTGCACAACACGGGTGGACTCACATACATGCAGGCAATACACTCATACACATAAAAATAATAAATAAAATAAAACCCTTTAGGGTGGAAATGTTCTATACATTGATTGGGGTAGGGGCATATGGTGTATACATACTGTTAATACTCATGGAACTGTTTTATCTTACTGTAAATTATTCCTTAGGAAACTTGATTAAGAATAATTTAGATTGGGTAAACTTTAAATTAAAAAAAATCTCTGCTTTAAAGCTTATCCGCTTTATGAAAGTGTTTGAGATGGTTGATGGTGCAAAATTTTGGTTATAGTAAGGGTGAGGGACAGTTGGTCTCTCGCTCTCTCTCTTTTTTTTTTGGTCTTTTTTGAGACAGGGTCTCCCTGTAGCCCCAGCTGTCCTGGAACTCACTATGTAGACCAGGCTGGCATTGAACTCACAGAGATCCACTTGCCTTTGCCTCCCAAGTGCTGGGATTAAAGGCGTGTACCACCACACCTGGCTCTCTCTCTTTTTTAAAAAAATATTTTATTTACTATTTTTATTTGATGTGTATGAGTGTTATGCCTGCATATAGGTAAGTGCACCGTGTCATGCAATGCCCATGAAGGACAGAAGAGGCTGTCAGATCCCCTTGAACTGGAGTTATGGACAGTTGTTAGCTGCCATGTGGATGCTGGGATTCGAACCCAGGTCTTCTGCAAGAACAGTCAGTGTTCTTAACTGGTGAGCCATCTCTCCAGTCCGAGAGTTGGTCTCTTTAAAGAAGTGACATTAGATAGGCTGACCAGGCTCCAGTGGATGAACTCACTCTGAGGGACATCTGGGGACACAAACTTGACTTAGTAGGACTTAACATACATGACAGAATGTATGAAATCTTATGGCAGTCTATGTAGTGGAAATACAGATAAGGGAGGGGGTCTAAATATGACTAAGAGGTATGAAATGCACAAAAATGCAATAAAAAATATATATTAAAAAAAATCATAGGACATAGCCAAAGAAAGGCCGGTGAGATGGCTTAGCAGGTAAGGTGCTTACTACGAAGCCTGATGACCTGAGTTCCATCCCAGGAATCCATATGGTGGAAGAAGGGAACCAACTCCTGCAAGTTGCCCTCTGATCTCCATACATGTACTGCAGCAAGAGTGGATGCATGTGTATATACACACACACACAAAAAAAAAATTGAGAGCTGGGTGTGGTGGCACACACCTTTAATGCTAGCACTCGGGAGACAGAGGCAGGCGGATCTCTGTGAGTTCAACGCCAGCCTGGTCTACATGGTGAGTTCCAAGCCAGCTGGGGCTGCAGGGAGACCCTGTCACAAAAAGACCAAAAAAAAAAAAAAAAAATCAGAAAACATTGGAGGCTGGGGAGATAGCTAGTGGGTAAAGTGTTTGCTGTGCATGGGGAGCTGAGTCGGATCCCAGTACCCACATAATTATAGATGGTGGCATGCACCTATAATCCTGGCGCTAACTGGGAAGATAGAGACAGGAGAATCCCAGGGACTGGCTGGCCAGCCAATCTAGCCAAAACTAACAAGCTCCAGGTTTAGTGAGCAACCCTGTGTCAAAATATGAGGAAGACGCCCTGAAGTTGACCTCTGGCTTACACCCATGCACACACAGGCAAGCACGCCCACTGATACATGTGCTCACACACAAAGAAAACACTGATTTAGTAACCCAACTATGTATTTTCACATGACCTGGACCATTCCAAATAAAAGTTTCAACTTTATTGTCATTTCTACATCTGAGGTACTGGCTCAGTAGGTTTGAGCATCTTGCCCTTTTCCCAAAGCACATAAGGATAAAAAAAAAGCCAGCATGTAATACCAGCTTCCTGGGAACCATGTCAAAGACAGGAAAATAGAGGCTTACGTAGCTTTTTCCTTAGCCTTCCAAGTGCCGGGACTACAGGTGTGCACCACAACACCCAGCTTTCCCAGACTCTTTATTTGGGAAGAAAAGAGGGAATCCCAAATGACATCATGTGAAGAGTCCCCAGATCAGAATTGAGAGTAAGCAACGTATGTACGTCATGGTTCTATGAAGACCAGCCTTGGGGGGGCGGAGGAATACAGTCCAGATCCCTAGGTCCTGGGTTCTCTCTCTCTCTCTCTCTCTCTCTCTCTCTCTCTCTCTCTCTCTCTCTCTCCCTCCCTTCCTCCTTCCCCTTCTCTCCTTCCCCCTCCCCCTCCCCCTTGCCCTCTCCTCTCACTTTGACCTGACCACTCTCATTGACTGGCATGTAAAGACTCAACTTCAGGGGATGCAAGAGCACGTGTGGGAGACATTCAACAGACACCCAGAATTCAAAGCACTTACTTTGCGTGATATAGCCACAAGAAAGACCCTTCTGGGCTGAAAACAAACAAGAAATAAAACATTGTCACGGTACTTTTAATTCTCGAAAGGCTCTGCACCAGTCATCACTTAGCTCCCCCCAGGTTTCCACCTTTCAGACTTGACCAGTGAGAGAGACTGCTGGGAATTCCCACTCACTGCTTCATGCTCTCCAGAGGAATTGGGACTATCAGGACCATCTCAGTTCCTGGGGTGTTTCTTGGTTTTGTTTTTTCCTTTCAAAGTCAGTCAGCTGGCAACTAGCAGAAGGTCTCCCCTACCACATTCTCAGGTGTCTGGTAATGAAGAAGCCTTGGTGGGCGGAAACACCAGAGCCCAGCCATCCTGCATTATCTCCCCTAGAAAACAAAGCCTGGTCATATCCACACAGAATCCCGTCTATGGAGGCAGTCCCCAAAGGCACTTCTTTAACCAGTGAAGGCAACGAGGCTGTCCTGGTACACCTGCAAGGTAGGCTGGGACACTGACTCCTTCAGGGGATGACCTCTATTCAGTCATTCTATAAATATTTGCTGGGCTGTCCTGAACACCAAGTGCTGGGACGCATTGGTGGCCACGGCAGATATAGTTGGGTATAGAGAGATGGCTCAGTGGTTAAGAGCGCTGGCTGCTCTTGCAGAGGAGGCAGGTTCAGTTCCCAGCACTCACATGGTCCATACATCCAGGTCGAAGGGACCAGACACCCTATTCTGGCCTCCACAGGCACTGCACACATGGGTGAACTTAAATACATGCAGGCAAAGCACTCATACTTATAAAATAAAAACAAACATTAAAAAGCAGAGGTACAGTTCTGGCTATAACTCAGAACAGCAAAGTTGTCTAATCAACTTCAGACTCAGAGCTTGAAGGTTATCCAAAGAAGCATTCCAGTGCCAGAGAGGAACCCCGGAGGGTATCTGCCCTTCTTTTGGACAGTTCCGATTGCTGGAGTCACTCTTGCTGTTTGCTAGAAACTCCTTGTCTCGTTTTGTCCACGGGAGCAAATGCAGCCACTGATGATTATTATGTGATGAATGTTTGTAGCCTCCCCTAATGTGCCTGCCGATCCCTGCCCCCATATGATGACATGTGGAAGAGCAGCTCTAAGAATTAGACTTAGATGGGAGTGTAAGGATGGGACCTCATGATGGATTTAAAGTCTCTGTAAAAAGAGGAAACAGATGGGCATGTTGGTGTGCATGCCTTTAATCCCAGTACTTGGGAGCAGAAGGTGGGACATCTCTGTGAAACTGAAGCCAGCTGGGGCTACAGGAAGGCTCTGTCTCAAAAAGTAAACTAAAAAAGAAGAGGAAACTATTATAACTTGCATCCTCTCCACCGCAGGTGGGAACAAGAAGATGGTGGTTGTCTGAAAGCCAGGCAGAAAGCCCTCACCTGGGAATAAGCTGAGATGCCACCTTGATCTTAGACTCTGGCCACTCTGGAACCAAATTCCTATTATTGAAGCCAACCAAGTTATGGTAAGTGGTTCTGAGTTATGGTAAGTAAGTGGTTATGAGAAGCTGCAACCGCTAAGATGATGATGATGGCTGCAGCAGTGGGGAATGTTGGTTTTTTTGTTGTGTTCAGTGGTACTAGGGATTGAACCCTAGCGCCTTACACAAGCTTGGCAGGTAGTTTACCACTGAGCTATAGCTTTGTTTTTTTGGTTTTTGTTTTGTTTTTTTCTTTTTTGATTGTTAAAGACACAGTCTCTGTAGTTCAGGCTGGCTTCTAACTCACAGTGATCCTCCTGCCTCAATCACTCAAGTGCAGGGATTAAAGCTGTGATCCAGCACACCTATCACCTCCATTCTTAAAGGTAGGGAAACTGAAGAACAGAGTGGTTGAGTAACTTGCTCAAGGTCACAGAGGAGATTAATAGTAGCCCAGGACCAGCCAGCCAGTATGGTTTACAGTATAGCCAGGATGCTTCTCAGTCCCTAAGAGCATAAATGAGCCCTCAGTGTCCCTACATACAACTAAAGAGTCGTCTCTTATTAGAACTAGTTTCCTCACTCCATAAGACCCACTTTCCAAACTTTCTAAGTTGTTAGCACTCTACCTTGTCATTTTTTTCTCAAAATTAACTAGTCAGAATGAAAGAAGAACACTCTGGAAGCAGTTACATGTGTGCCATACCTTGAACCTAATTGCTTCTGTATTCTTTTGGAGAAATTGCCCCTCCTATTCCTGCACCTAAAGATGTCTCTTTTTTGTGATCAAGACAGTCCTGCTGGCTCATCCAACTTTAGAAAGAATAGAAAGAGATAATCAAATGCTGAGGTGACCAGCAAGGGCTCTGGGGCCACTAAAACATTTCACTGTGAAACTGTTAACAGTGCCAGGACAGCCCTGTACAGTCAGCTGTCCACTAGATTTTGTGAAGCTGAAAGGGCCCCTTAAGTCAAAAGTGCCTTGGCCTTAGCTGCCTGTGGAACCCTGATGAGAAACGTCTCCCGCTATACTACCAAAACACTAGACCCTCCAGAAACAGAGGCACCAGGTCAGGTACAAATGAATCACTAGTAACTCAGTATGTATTTTTGTAGCACAAGTCAACAACTTGAATTGCTCCTTTTAAATCCTGCAAATATTTTAGGATCATAGGATTTGGGGCAGATTTTTTCATGGAATTCCTATCTGAAAATTTTCCTTTTTTCTTTCTCTGTTATTTTTCTCATTTTGGGTTTTTTGTTTTGTTTTTGAGACAGGGTCTCACTGTATAGCTATGGCCAGCCTGGAACTCACTATGTAGACTAGGCTGACCTGAACTTGTGATCCTCTGCCTCATGAGTGATGGGATTCCAACTGTGTATCTCCCTGCCTGGCTTGAAAGTTCTGGTATCTGACCATCCAAATCACTTGAGATTATATTTTGGGCTTAATTTTACCTCTCTCTGGGTCTAGCCTACCATTACAGAGACCAGGGTACAAGGAATGTGGCAGAAAAGAAGATAATCAGCCAGAAGTCACTTAGAAGGTCCAGTGGTTTTAAAGACTGTCTGGGGCTCAGGAATATAGCTAGAGTAGATTCTCCATTTTATGGTTCAGTTCATCAAATTTTAATTCGGCTTGGTAACATGGCTGGCACCAGTAAACAGAGACAGCAGTCTTCCCATCTACCTAATTCCACCATTTCATAATTACCTGTTGATGTATTCCCAAAACACAACAACCACAGATGAGACAACCAGCATCGACAGAATTACTTTTCCTTTGACATTCATTATTTTCTCCTGTAGGAAAAACAAGGGGAAAATATATTAAATGAATGAAACGCAGAGAGAGAACTGGCTCTTAAAGGCTTCTGCCCATTATCTTCTCTAAAATGATACATCTGTGGGTAATTCACCAGAGCTGAGGCGTATGTTCCACCTTAAAGTGCATAAAGCAGTCATGGCAAATTAGGCCAAGGTAGTTGATGAGACTGCCGGTGCTGGGAAAGATGCTAAGCTCCCAGTGCAGTCCCATCACCATGGATGAGGGGAAGGGAGGGAGTAGCTGAATGTGACTCCACCAAACTCCGGTTACCTCTGATCAGAGCACCACAATGTACCACAACTGACTTCAGGGAGCCGTTCCATTCCCCAACTCTACTGCCTGCATGTCCCTTCTCACAGACAAAAATGACCTCTCTAATCTAGGCCTCACCCACTTCCAGCCTCACACAATTCACCCCACCACACCCACAAGCAAGCAAACAACTGGTACTGTAGAAGCAGGTACCTAGGTATTTTTAGATCACTGCATGAGACCGTGGCTGAAAGGGAAGGGGTGCCGGGCAGAGAACCACAGCCTGGGAAGTACCTCACTGTGGGGATCAGGGAAGGCAAGATATACACGAAACAGGTAACTTAGTGTCAGAGGATTAAAGCCAGACAAAAATCGCCATGATAAAGGGATGAGATTTGGGGAATAACGTCAATAACGTGCTGATAGGAGCAAATGCTTCAAAAACCAAAACTAAAACCACCCCTGCAGAAAACCTGAGCAAGAAGAAAAGAGTGGTGGTGGGTAGGGAGAGGGTGAGCCCGAACGGACGGAGCTCTGAAATGTCCACAGGGGTTTGGGAGGCACCAGAGCCTTGGAGGGGGAGAAGAACTAGATCCTGCTTTACTCAGAGGACCTGCCTACCTGCTGAGGGATGGAGGACCATGTGTAAGGACCCCAGCATTAATGGGGAGATTCACAGACTATTCTAACAGCCAAAGAGGGGGGCAGCTTATTGTATATTTACACAGTACTGTCTATATGTGATGACGTTTTGACATCTTATGTTTGATACCTTATGACACATTTCTGTCTAGGGAGAGACCAACCTTCCTAAGACTCACCAGCTCCTAGAGTTCTAAAAGATTCAGGCAGGAACATGCCTCTGGTTCACAGATGAGCCACTCCAGAAGCACACCTTCTCTATCTGGCCCATGCACCCCACAAAACAATAGGATCTGGCCTTAATCGCTCAGGGCACCAGAAACTTAGAAACCAGGCCTATAGTTCAGTACCTGCCTAAAGAATTCCAAGTAGTGGATCCTCAGCTACTCATTCTGCCCTGCCTTTCTTGCTGACCACAAAAACATCTCTGGCCTCCCAACTTCCAACTCTCAATATCACTATGATGGGTAGCAGCCCAAAGACTGAGAACACAGACCAGTTAGATCACACATGAACCTCAGTCAGCTCTTCCCTCTGGGTACCTGCAGTATATAGCCCAGGGATTTTGGCAGTCAACAAATGCAGAAGGCTTACATGTACCCAGCCTCATTGCCAACAAAAATAACTTAGTCAGTCTATGTCCATGGGACTAGATTTGATAGAGAATAGGAGTAACACAACTCCTCCTCCTTCAATACATAATACATTTGTTTAGAGTGTGTGTGTGTGTGTGTGTGTGTGTGTGTGTGTGTGTGTGTGTGAAGGAAAAGGACAACTTTTACCATGTGGGTCCCAGGGATTGAACTTAGACTGGTAGGCTTGGCATCAAGCACCTTTACCTTCTGAGTCATCTCACCAGCCCTAGTTCCTTTTCTTTTAGGTAGCTAGATAGGAAAAAAAAGACCTCCAGCTGAGCTGGTTTCTCAGTGATCTCTATATAGGCACAAGTCAAATGCCTATCTCAGATGAAGGAAATTTCTGTAAACTAGCAGACCCTTTGGAATCTACACAGGGAATAGAGAGATTGGACCCAAACGCTCTACATTAGCTGAGTTTAGCTCACATGAGTGCTGGACTGGTCCTGGGGAGCACAGGTTCTGTGTAAGAAGGTTCATTCTCTGTAAGTTTAGCTCAGAAGCTGGGGGGGGGTTATATTTTTTTATTTATTTTAATTTTATGTGCATGAGTGTATGGCCTGCATGTATGTGAATGCACCCGTGTTGTGCAACGCTGTGGAGTCAGAAGAGGGTGTCAGGTTCCCCTGGAACTGGAGTTAAGGACGGCCACTGAGCCATCTCTCCAGCCCTGAAGCTGTGGGTTTTTAAAGGCCCTGATTTACCAAAATAAACTGCTGAGCACCAGTTCTCACTCTCCTGGTTCCTCCTAGAACCTTGGGGCAGTTTGTTCAAGGGGCTTTTCCTGAGCTCCCTTCTACTCCTGAGAATTCCCACACAGTTCAGCCTGATTTACATGCAGGCCTAAGCCAATCAACCTCAAGTGCTGGGCCAGGTGACATCTCATCTTGAGTCTCCTCCCTTGCTTTTGCAGGAAGCTGCTTTTCTACCACAGTGAAGCTTTGCTTGCTCCCCTGCTGTCCCACCTCCTCATTCATCACAATCATGAGACATTGAAACTGGGAGTCACTGGCTCAGAATGACTTGAATGTCTGTTGAGTTTCTGGGACCTGAGTTCTCTGAGCCGAGTCCACCTGAGCCAAGAAACTCCATAAAACTCCATAAGGCTCCATAAAACTCAACGACTCCCTGCAACAGACTGATAGGTAAGTCCAGGGTCTGAGAGCCTAAAGATCTGAGGCTTTGGCAGTAAGGTGGGATTTGAGTCCTAACTTTAATACAAAAACTATACAGTTCCTAGGCCCTCATCCACTACTCCAAAAATCACAGAAAACCACTTTTTTGTAATTTAGTCAGCATCACAACCTCAACTAACACAAGGCCATTTGCAATCTTGATCCTGCTGAGACTGTTGGAACATCTCCCTCATAAACATTAATGTTCCTTGATGGTGCTGCCACACAAGAATGCTGCATCACAGTCGGGAAGTAGTCTGTATCCCCAAAGTCAAAATTCCAACCTACCTGGGGCTCAGGGTTTCAGCTCAGGGATTGGGGACCTCTACTAGATAAAATTAAAGTGACTTCCTTGTTTGGAAAAGGGAATAGGAATGGTCATGAGGCAGGGGGAATGAATGAAAATTTGAGGCCAGCCTGGGCTACAGAGCAAGACTGTCGCAAAACACAAACAAGGGCCAGTGAGATGGCTTGGTGGATACAAGCACTTGCCAAGCCTGGGGATCTGATCCCTAGAAGAAGACACACGTTGCCAAGTGTTGTCCTCTGACCTCCACATGTGTGCTGCAGCATGTGAGTCACATCCTCTCTCTCTCTCTCTCTCTCTCTCTCTCTCTCTCTCATTAATAAATAGGGGCTGGAGAGATGACTCAGCAGTTAAAAGCATGTACTGCTCTTGCAGATGTCCCAAGTCTGGTTCCCAGAACCCACATCAGGCAGTCCACACCTGTAACCCCACTTCCAAGGCATACAGCATCCTCTTCTGGCCTCTGCAGGCACCTGCACTCATGTGCACATACCCCCATCAGCCATACAAATAATTTTTTTAATCCTTAAAAAAGTAATAAGTAAAAAAAATTTTATGTTTTCAAAATATAAAAAATGTGATGATTTCCAGATCAGTGCCCCAACATAGGATAAATGCTTTTTAAAAATGTTAGTTTTTATTACCGGTGTTTAAAACTCAGGCTGTTGGGAGAATCTACAGATACAAACTGAGGCCTGGTACTTAGAAAAGTGCTTCAAACATTTGAAGGAAAGGAGGAGAGTTCTGGAATGAAAAATGTGTTATATAAAGAAGTGCAAATTGATGCAAATGAAGGCGTCTAAAGCCTTCCTCCTCTGTTCTAGCCTCAGCCTGATTAAGAGCTGTTCTAAAGCAGGGCTTTGATTTTCTCAGTCAGGCCCCAGGTGCTTCTGGGAACTCTGTACAAGTTGAGGCAAGAGCATGCCTTGGCTGTGTGTCTCAGCTCTGCCAAACCCACCTGCCAAGGATCAAATGCAAATCATCTCCCAACTGGAAGCGCCACACACAGCAACGTGCAAAGACTCACAGGAGAGCACACTGACTGCCATCAGGGACCGCCAGGTAGGTGCACCTCTTGATCCCCACCCAGAACATGCCGGCAGCTGTGTGTGCTTCTTTTATATTTCAGGAATTCACATCAGAGGCAACTCTGAAGTCCACTTCTTTCTGGACTTCACTGATGGTTGGAAACCACTTGTTCTTTTGCTGTGTCTAATCACCACTCTGGAGAGAGCCTTGCAAACTGAAAGTTGTCAGAGCGAGCCAATTCCGCACCCTTTAGTAAAGCGCTAGAGAAGGGCACAACAGGCTTCCTAGAATCTGGAACCCCAGTCTCCAGGGAAGGAAGGTTTGGCAGGGTGGCAACCAGTCTTTTAAAAAAGTTTTATATTTCTCTCTGATCAAAAATGAGGCATCTGGCAACTAACATGGCCTAAAAGTCCTTTTCCTGTCTGCTTGACTCTCAGAATTTTCAGAACTGTCATTCTGAAGATTGGTGACTATCTTCCCTACCAGAAAAGAAGTGAGTTTGATTCTAAATTCATGTTGGGGACCAAGCAGAGAACGAGGAGCTGCTGGATACTAAGGTCCAGTTTCAAGTGGCAGAGTGGAATGCTACTGTCCCCTGACCCCACCCCGGATGATCTCAGCTGGCCCCAGTTGTACAGTCTGTGATGGTGTGAGGCTCTCTTGCCATCTGGAAGACCCTCTGACTCAATACTTCCTTCATTTGTCTCTAATTCCATCCTCTGACAGTTTCCCAGGCCACCCCCAGACTCAACCCTGCAGAGCTGGACTCTGGGGGTTCTCAGGTGAAAGCATCCTCACCTTACCCCTGGGACATGTGCAGACTCTGGTGGCACTTCACAAGGCAGAGCCATGCTGGCGAGCCTCCACCTTCCTCACCCTACCCTCGTGGAATAACACACACCCCTTCGAGAGCCTCACAGAGTCACACCAGCCAGATAGAAGTACTCCTTCCTAGCAGAATTCCTCTCTGGAGGGAATGCTGGGTGATCCTGTTTTCTCCATCTCACATCAGGGGAAAAGGTGAACCTCTCAGCTGGATAGCTGCGTGCACAGAGGCCCTGGAAAAGCCATTATCATGGAGAGCAGGGGACAGGCAGGGTGAAAGCAATTGACAAAGAAACCAAACTTCCTGGCCTAGAAAAAGCTCTCCTCCCTAACTGTGATCCGGCCACCACAGCCTGGAACCCACTCCTCCTCCCCAAGGACTGCCAGGGCCCTAACGAAGCCTCAGCTATGTCAAGATATTGTGATGGGTCCAGGCTGCTACAAGTCCTGTGGGGTACCCAGTAGGTGCAACCTGTGTGTTTGTGGGGTAATGGGATGAAATTGAAGTCAATCATGAGAGTCCTGACAGATGTCAGTCCTGCCACCCCAGATCCATCAACCAAAGTGGAACTAGGCTACTATGTACCAGCGGGTTCTTGGAACCAGAGACACATCAATAAACAAGGCCACCACAGAGTTTCCATTCCAGAGGGAGGCAAAGGAACCAACAGGATACAGAGTGTCTAGTAGTGACCAGTGTTGCAAAGGCAAACAAAGCAATAAAATAACAAACTGGATGTTGAATTCATCCTTTTTTTTTTTCTTTCCGGTGCTGGAGACAGAACTCAGTATACCAGGCATACTAAGGCAAGCGCTCCACCATTGAGCTAATCCCCAGCCCAATACGTCATCCTCTGCCCACTCCCCATAACCCTGGTTATAAAAGTGTTTAGCTTGGATGAAAACTCTGACCGCAGCCAGGCATGAGGCAGAGGAGGTAGATCTCTGAGAGTTCAAGGCCAGCCTAGTCTACATAGTAAACTCCAGGCCAGCTGGGGCTACAGGGAGACCCTGTCTCAAAAAGATTAAAAAAAAAAAAACAGAAAAAGAAAACTGCCCTCAGCCAGGAGTGGTGGCACATGCCTTTAATCCTAGCACTCAGGAAGCAGAGGCAGGCAGATCTCTGTGAATTCAAGGCTAGCCTGGTCTCCATTGTAAATCCAAGCGAGCTGGGGCTACAGGGAGACCCTGTCTCAAAAGAAAGAAAGAAAGAAAGAAAGAAAGAAAGAAAGAAAGAAAGAAAGAAAGAAAGAAAACCTGACCTCAGCGGGTCCCAGATGTAACCAGAGCCTCTGTCTAATGTATAATATGGAGGTGTGAATATCTTCCTCAGAGGTCTGGAAAGGACAGAAGCAGGCCATGTCTAAGACGTACGCGGCACCAGGTCAGTACATGTTCTGCAAATAGCAGCTACAGTCATATGATGCTCTTCAGGGAAAGAGGTTCAAATCCTGGACTCCAGGACCACTGACAGGCCTTCACAGAGCAGCTGAGAAGAGTCCAAGTCCCACGTGGGTTTCCATAAACTTCACTGTGCCCAACCTAGGACAAGGACGTAGCAAAGCAGTCTCACTGCTTCTCACGTGTGCCCAGTACCCTGTGGCAACAACAAACATCTGGCAGTAGAGCGGACTGAGGCCCAGCCCAGCAGAAAGCCAGGGATTAGCCTCCTAGACCAGAGGCACAGAGTTCTCTGGCTCCAGCCTCTGTGATAGGTCCTTGGGACCTATCTTTTCCCTTCAGGCTTTCCTCATTGACCCAGGGCCTGAATGAGAAATGAACCTCAAGAATGAGAATCTCATTTTTTTTTTACAAAACAGGTCCCTTTGGCACAAGAGCTCACTTTGGCCCATATGTTTTCCATGACTGGATGATCAAATCATAGGCTCACAGGCCTGGTGAAGTTTTGAGTATCAGGGTCCCCACATAAGCTGGGGCCTCATCCCCATTAGAATAGAGGTAGGAAGCCCCCAAGCACTTCCTACAGGAAAACAAACCCCTAGAGCCTGAGGGAATCCCTGTCTCACTCTGGTGGCTGTCTGGGGCTAGAGGCAGAAGCAAGGAGCTGACCCCACTTGTTCATCCACCAGGGTCCAGAGCCTTAAGCAGCACCCAGGATCCTCCCCGTCAGGGAGGAGCCCTAAGGAAAAAGAGATAGACTACACCCTGCCCTTCTCCCTGATCAGGGGTCACAAAGGGTCTGGCCTGCAGTGCCTCCCCCAACTGGTACACAGGCCCAGCTCCCCTACGGCAAAGGATGGTTTTCTCTGAGAATCTTCCTGGAGCCCCCTGAGCAAGGAACTGTGCAGCGCATTCCAGACAGGGCATCACATACAAGGAACTGTGGCACCAAAAGCAGTCTCCAATGGTCAGGAGTAGACAATAGCCACTGCTAAACCATGAATCAGTGTTTTTCCTATTTTTTTTTTTTGTCTGTTTTTCTTTTCCCTATTGAAAACAATACTAGGGTCCAGAAAGATGGCTCGGCATGTAAAGGTGCTTGCTGCCAAACCCGGTGATCTGAGTTCCATTCCAAGTCCCTCAGGGTAGACATAACTGATTCCTTCCTGCAAATTGTCCTCTGACCTCCACACACGTCTGCCGTGGCATGTGTGTACCCATGAACATGCATATATACAAACATTTATGCATGTGCACACACATACAATAAATAAATGTCATTTTAAGAAGAAAAGAAAGAATACCAGAATGTAAACACTGAAGTGATCAATGAGTTTACAGCCTTGGGATTTGGAAGACGGCTCAGCACTTATAAGGAAGAACTGCTTTTACAGAGGACCCAAGTTTGGGTCCCAGCACCCAGAATGGGCAGCTCACAACTGTCTAAAACACCAGCTCCAGGAGATCCTATGCTTCTAGCCTGCGAGGGTACTTGCATTTATGTGCCCATACCCCCCCACACACACAACCACACTCACACACATAATTAAAAATAAATTTTAAGAAAATCTGTTTTGCAGCCAAAATACAGCAAGTGAATCAGGCAGCTACACCCAACTCGCTCATTTCCACTTTTTCCATCATTTTAATATTGTTTTCTGAATGTCGTGTCTGAAGGATTTGTCCTTCTTTACTCGCTGTAATTTGCCTTTCTCATAGTCTACACATTCACTTTCATATCTAATATTGTATTTACAGCTTTGAATTCTTTTTCTTAAAATATTCCCCTTACCCCTGATTGAATCAGCTTCTTAACCTATGAATGTTTGTTTCTTTCTTGAATTAGCCAGACCAGGCCCTAGGCTAAACTGTCTCCAGCTGTCTTTCAGTTCTGCTTGGCAATCCTATAACATTACTCTATTTTTAATGCTATTTTACAGAGAGGAAATGGGCTCAGAAAGGTCAAGAAACTTGCAATGCATTCACCTTACAGTAGTGGGGCTGGGATTTGATCCAGAGAGTTGGCCTCCAGAGACCTTTTAACCATCAAAGAACAAGAAGGCGCATCTCCAGACAGCCCTCATCCCTCAAATCTGGAGCATCATCTCTTTTTGTTACTCACGTCTACCAATTAGTGATCAATAACAAACTCTCCAAACACCAGCTAGAGCTACTGCAGAATCAGCTTTGCCTTGGAGACCTGGGGAGCCCCACTAGTTTGATTTTTCTCTGCCACTTGTAAGGCGCCTCCTGTGTGTGCCTCGCACAGGGCATCTTCACTCATGTGACCTTGTTTCCACCTCGACAGCCAGTGGTCACTGTGGTGACTGTGGCTCTGCCTTCTTCCTGAGCCTGAGCTTGAGTGGAAAGGAGTAGCTGGCTGGAGAGTGCTCAGAAAACTCAGAAGCAGCGGATTTTAAGGTCAGACTTTCTGCTTCCAGGCCTTGTTCTTGGCATAGGGGCGGTGTTGGGGTAAGGAGGGACCATTTTATCATAAAATTCCCCATGCAGAGACACATGATACAATAGAGGAGGAAAAGGAAAGAGAAACCTCTTTCCAGTTACGTTTTTCATTAAGGAGAGACAGCTCGGTGGTTAAGATGCTCGCTACTCTTGCAGAGCACCGGGTTCAGTTCCCAGCACCTGTGTCAGGCGGCTCACAACCACCTGTAACTCCAGCTCCAGTGGATCCAGTGCCCTCTTCTGAGCTCTGTACACCCAAGCATGCACACAGATAAATAATAAAAAATTTTTAAAAGAGGGTCACAATAAATACAGATGCAATCTCAGACTAAGTCCATAACCAACTGCCACCCCAGCCATCACACCCCATCACAGGCAGTGTAACCTGTTCTCACAGTGTCTCCATCTTAATCTCCTTTAGAAAATCTAAAGTCAGGACTCAGTGGCAGTTTTTCCTAGGTGCCAGGTCCAGGAATCACCCTGAGCAAGTCTTTTTCCAAAGCAACAGACTTAAGGCAGATGCTGTACAGACCCAAGATGCTTCTGGGTCCTTCCACAGCGCCCAGCCCCAACCCCAAGACTCACCAACTGCCCCTACACTGTCACCTTGAATCCTGTAGAAGACTCTAGGCACAGCCCTAGGAAAGGGCCCAACCAAAGAAAGCCAAATAAAGAACTGGTGGGATCCCTTCAACACTGCACGTACCTCATCGTCCGCTGTGTTCCCTCCAAGCAAAAGGCAGAACAAGAGTTCTACGGAGCTCCGGCCTACAGAAGGAGGCAGGGCTCAGAGGAAGGGAAGGTGCTTCGTTCCAGCTCCTGTCAAAAGAATAAACAGCTGTTTCAGGAAGAAGGGGGGTAGGCAGATTCCTTTTCAGCAGCCGCAGGCTTTGTTCCCGCAGCCTCGGGAAATGGGCTGTTTATCAGGGCTGTTGACTCAGAGCTACATGCCAAGGCAGACTCTCGGTGTGTTGGGTTGGTTCCCCGTCTCTCACCAAATGAAAAACTACAGCATCAAATTGGGCCAGGAGTCACAGGAGGGAAGGTCACCACTCTCCACAGGGACACACAGGCCACCCACATCAAACACCCATGGGGAAAACTGGGAACTGTTTGCATCTGGGACACAAACGATCTCAAGTGACATCTCCCAGGAACAGCCAATAGAGAACTGTTTAAGACAGCCCAAACCAGAGGCAAGCGGGCAAAGCACCACCAGTGAGACTGCCTCAGAGACAAGCCCTTCCTTGACAATCCTCAGGTTTCGGGAGTGGCACTGTTTGGTTCAACATGGTAGAGAGAATCTCTACATAGCAGTCTATAAGAACTTGGAAAGTTCATGGAGACCCACACCTGCTCCTGTAACTAAATGCTTAACCCTTCCCATCCCACTGAAGGCAATCTCAGACTTTTTATTTTGAGACAGGGATCTCATGTAGCCCGAGAATTCACTCTATAGCCAAGATGACCTAGAACTTCTGATCCTCCTGCCTTCACCTGCCAAGAGCTGGGATTATAGGTATGTACCACCATGCCAATCTTGGAAGCCAGGGTTGTATGGGTGCTAGGAAGGTGCTCTACCAGCAGAGTTGAATCTCCAGCCCTCAAGCTAGAATTTTTTTCAGGAAGCATATCACTTTCCGAAGTCACATTACATATGGCAGATAGCGCACAGGACTTTGGCTCAAGTAAGAAGGTGATCCTCCAGACTCCCTGCCTCATCCCTCACAAATGGCTGGGGCACTGCGGGGAAGTACAGTAGGTCTGGAAACCCTAGACTAGGGGGGAGGGAACCAATGCCAGACAGGAAGGAGTCCAGGACTAGTCCCCAGGTCATTCAGCTGGAACCCAGCCTCCACCTCCTGTTCTCAGAAGGAAGTTTTACAGCTTCCTCCTCTGAGAGCTGGGGCCAGTTGATCAACAACCCTCAGGGTCTGGAAGTTCTTCCTAACAGCTTGCTTAAATCCTACCTGATGTATCTCTCAGGCATTAGGCTTGGTCATCAGGCTTTTTAATTCTCAGTCATTCCAATTTTATTCCCAAGAGATGTGCACTAGAGCCTTCCTAACAGCACCCATACTAGACTCCCCCACGAGGCCCATCGTCAGAACAGATAAGTTGTCACTAAGTCCCAGAGTGGCAGCCTATCAGTGGCAATGAGACCAGCAAGCTGCAGCTGCTCACATCAACAGAAAGATCTCATTCACTCAAAGAAGCCCAGTCCAAAAGGATCCACCCTAGACAAGGTATGGGGGTGCTTGCCCATGCAGGAGGCTGGGACAGGAGGAGCAGGATTCCAAGGCCAGTCCTGGCAACATAGTGAGTTTGAAGCCAGCCTGGGCTACATGAAACACTGTCTCAAAAACAAAAGGGGGGGGGCAAGGAAGTGCATGCTATATGATTCTACTTAAAGTCCATAAGGAAACAAAATTAACGTCTAGTGTTAGAAGCCAGAAGGATGGTATCCCTGGAGGTGACAAGTTTTGGTCTGGGTAGTGGTCACACAGACGTGTCCACACAGTGTATCTCATGAATTGGCCTTTCTCCTGTGTACTTTAAGGATGGAAAATTCCAGAAAGCTTCCTAGTGGAAACGGTGTACTTTGTCTAGCACTATCTCCCCTACTTGGTCCTCAAGGACCCCAAGACCAGGTGCAGACCCTGTCCCTTCCTTCTCTTGGGTTCAGGGGTGCAGCAGTGGTGTTCCATAGGACCACCGGCTGCTGGCTGAAGGTGAGACAGCAGACTAGAGTCAAAGAGCTATAATGTAATACAGGGCCATCTTTCACTTTTGCAGTGCTGAGGATGGAATCCACGGCCTTTACATGCCAGGGAAGTCCCCATTAACTGAGCCTCAGCATCTCAGCTCCCCCTGGAGTCCCCTGCTGATCCCAGGCCCCACACATTCCACAGCTTAGAAAGGGGCCCTCCCTCCTTTACCTCAGGGGACCCTCGCTGTCACCTGCCATGGGGCCTGCAGGCCTTTCTCCACCATTTTCATAGATGAACAGAGAAGCTCTGCGGGTCTTGGTCAGGGTCACTGGCTGGGACACTCCTGTGACAGGGCCCAGAGTTGCCCTTCCTCCCTAGGGACCTTCGGGGGCCACTCCCCGGATTAGCTGGTGAGCCTAGTGTGGCAGGCAGAGAGCCCACTAACGTACAAAGCTGAAAGTGGGACTTGTAGAGACTTGTAGGGGACACGACCTCCTCCTTCCTTGACACAGTCATCCAGCAAATTTTGGAACACACGTTCAGGGTCATTCTTCAGTTAAGAGGCAGAGAACCACTGAGAATAAGTCTCAGGCTACAGAGCTCCAGAATCAGCCCCTGTGTCTGTCCCATAGTAGCCCACACTGGGTACCTGTATATCTTCCACATCCCATCCTGAGCACAAGCCCTGGAGCATGGGCTGGGGGCAGCTGCAACCCATGGTAAGGAACGCTGGCTTTGCACCAAGTCCCTCTGGCCAGGAAAGTCAAAGGCTTCAATTCTCACCCAGCTTACCTCTGAGGGAATGTAAGGATTAAGTGTTCTTGGCAAAGAACACGCTGGACACAATGCTTCCTAGCTGTCATATGAAAGGCATGCTTGTCGATGCTTGCAAGAAATAAAGCGATCCGGTGGGTTTCTTGTCCTGTGTGGTGGGAATAATCACAAGGCCTATGTCTCAGGGTGGTTGAGGGGCTGTGACATGCTGGGTGGATGCAGATATTTGCAGGTTGCCTGCCAGTCATGGCTCTCCCCTGTAGTCTGTGCCATCCTGGGTGACTTACTTAACACCTCTGTGCCTACACTTCTACATCTGTAATGTAGAAATGGTAACATTTAATTTTGGGGGTTTTTTGGTCTTTTTGAGACAGGGTCTCCCTGTAGCTCCAGCTGGCCTGGAACTCACTATGTAGACCAGGTTGGCCTCACAGAGATTCGCCAGCCTCTGCCTCTCAAGTGCTGAAATTAAAGGCAACCATGCCTGGCTGGAAATGGTAACATTTGGAAGGTAGCTGGTACAAGGTAAGTGTCACGCAGCCAGAACTGAAGGGGCTGGTCCCCATGAAGGACACACCCTTGTCTCAGAGAATTCTGTAACTGTTAATCCCACATTCAGTGACTCCCACGCTGCCACTCACTTGGTTTTACATTTATGTGATGGACATACATTTTGACCTTATTGGTCCTAGTGCACATGGAAAGGAAGGAAACTCAGGCTTCTAGCATGATGGCCCTGTGGCCATTAGGAACTACTGCCAACCTGAGTCTGTGATGTCTGTGGTGGTGGCAGCCTAGGGAACCACTGAGGTCAGGAGCTTTTGCTCATGAGTCCCTGCCCCAGAGATGCCAACCTGAGTCTGTGATGTCTGTGGTGGTGGCAGCCTAGGGAACCACTGAGGTCAGGAGCTTTTGCTCATGAGTCCCTGCCCCAGAGATGCCAACCTGAGTCTGTGATGTCTGTGGTGGTGGCAGCCTAGGGAACCACTGAGGTCAGGAGCTTTTGCTCATGAGTCCCTGCCCCAGACACGACAGTCAGCCCACGAGAGGAAAATGCAACCACTGTTGAGTCTTTTTATTTTATTTTTTGAAGTTACATTTAGATATTCACTTTTAGTATGTGTATTTTTCATGGGGTGAGGGGTGCACATGCCACAATGTACCAGTGGTCAATTCTCTCCTTCCACTGTTTGAGATCTGGGGATTGAACTCAAGTCACCAGGCTTGGCAGCAAGCACCTTTTTATCCACTGAGCCATCTCACCAACCCCCACTGCTGGTCTTTCCAAGAAGGCAGGCATAAGAGCAGCAGCAGGTGAGCCTGACCCCTGGATTTATTTATCTGGCTGCTCTCAAATCCACTAAGATCAAGTTCTAAAGGAGCCTCTTACTCCCTAGGCCAAATTGAGAGGCCCTGGAAGCAGCAGGAGCCCTTCACTGGGGAGAAGGGAAGGTTTTCAGGCTAATCTCTGCCTGTTTCTTGGTCTCCCTCCCAGCACTGACACCATCTCTTCCAGCACTAACTCTCACTCCCAGCCTTGCTGCCCCAGTGTTGGTCCATTGGCCAATGGCGCACAGCCTTCTAGGTAATCTAAAGGGAATAAATACGTCATTTTCACCTTCCTATGCTTTAGTCTTTCCAGCTTTCATGCCAGGGGCAACCTGTCACTCCTTCCAGGCTTCTGATAGCCCAACCTTCCTCCTGAAAGGTGGTCACACCCCAGCTGCACCTCTGCCTCGGCTTTGAAGTATCTGACTGTAAGACACAGCTCAGTGTGAAGCCATGCTCATCTTTACAAGATGTTCTTAATAATGGTCTTATTTCTTCCTCACCACCGTCCTTCCTACGGGGACACAGGTGGTGAAGGCCAGCCCGTGGGGTACCGTATCAGTTACTTTTCCTGTTATTGTGACCAAGTGCCTGGTAAAAGCAACATAAGGAAAGAAGGGTTTATTTTGGCTCATAGTTTGAGGGTGCAGTCCATCATGGTGGGGAAGGTACAGCAGCAGGAGACAGACAGAGCAGCTGGCCACACTGTAACTACAGCCAGGAAGCAGAGGAAGATGGACGTTGGCCCTCAACTAGCTTTCTCCTTTTTATTCAGCCCAGCACTGTAGCCCACTGGATGGTGCCGCCCACAGTTAGGGTGGATCTTCCCTTCCCTGTTTCTGGAAACAGTCCCAGAGGTGTATTTTCATGGTGATTCTAAACTCCAACAAGTCGATAATCAAAATTAACCATGTCAGGTTGTGTGTGTTGGTACATGCACTTGAAAGGAAGAGGCAAGCAGATCTCTGTGAGTTTAAGGCCAGCCTGGTCTACACAGCAAGTTCC